GGTTGATAACTGATTTTAAGTACCTAATTGAAAATATAGGTACTACGAAAATATTAACAAAATATCTATATTTAATTAAAATATTAAATGAAGTTGATATTTTTTTTTAGTATTTAAAGTTTAAGCAATTCATATTCCATTTAAATTATTAGTACTGTAATGATCCTCATTAGGAAAATATATTTTATTGACCTAAGCAACATTATAATATATTAACATTCACAGTTCCAATAATCCAATGTTTCTATATTTTAGAAACAACAGATTAGATTGCTCAACACTCAACACATATCGAAAAAGATGCTTTATCTAGTGTGGCTGTGCATGATCATAATTTATTACAAAGTGTAACGATAAGCATACAAATATGAGAGGCACTTGGGGAGGACTGGAGGAGTATCAATCTGTAACTCTGCAGTTGAGATTAATTAGTGGCGTACGCAGGATTTTTCAATAAGGGGAGGGGCTTGAAAATTAGTTACAATTTTTTTTTATTTTGTCCAGTCTAATAATTTCAGACGTTTATTTGAAGTATTTTAAAATGTTTGTAACTTCTCAACTTTTCTGGTAGAAAAAATGCTCTGGTCATAAACTTCGATGCTCGATTTATGTTTTTGGAAGAAAATTGGATCTAGTTGGTAGGTACTTTAAGGAGATCGAAATTGAAAATGCTCAGTGCTTTTTAAAATATTTGAAGAAAAAAAAAGGAAATTTGTTAAAATTGTTTGGTAACCAGCTATTGGTTATACCGTCCTCACTTGGATTGTATTTGATTATTTTTTTTTTTTTTTCTATAAATGTCATAAAAAAAATATTTATCCGGTCAAAAACCTTAATAATGTAATACACGTACGATTTTATTATATCTAAAATATTAACATAGGCATCATGGTTATTTTTTATAAGCATTTAAAGTTCAAATTTCGGCAAAACCACAGTTAATTTGTAGTTCAAAACTTATAAAATACTAAATGTGTATAAGCTAAGACTAGAAAATTGAATACAAGGTCTTTCTTACAAGTAGTTCATCCTTTTACCGAAAAATTACAGATCATTTTAGGAAAATTAGTTCCTATGCAAATACAAGGTTTTTTCAAAAATGAATTCATTCTGGTAAGACGTATATGAAATTTGTGTCTTGCTTACTATAGTTGACAGTTGAAACTTGATAAATATATTTTTTTAAGTAATAATAATACGGACAATGAGGGGGGGCTTCAGCCCCCCTCTGCGAACGCCACTTACTTGAATAGTTGATTGTAAAAACATAATTAAATAAAAAAATACTAATGCACTTTGTAATGTTTGCATTAGATACCAGTGCTGCGTAAATTACTTTTAAAAAGTAATAAAATTAGTATAGGCGTATCTAGGGGGGGCTTAGCCTCCCAGAATTATTTGTATTATCATTTAGTTCATAGCGTTTTTTTTTTATTATTATTTATTGTTTTTCCAGCTCCCCCGATATATTTGTTCACAGTACCTACGCCTATGAAAATTATATTACCTCGGTACCTACAACTCCGTACTCGTTGCATTAAATATTTTTATTTAAATTACATTGGCATTACCCGACATTATTCATTCAAAAATTAGAGCTGTACAATTAAATATGAATGTAAAGTACTTTTTAAAAATGCATTACAAAACCAGTCCATAAAGACTAATAAGTAGGCAGTAATAACTAATAAGTAATGGTAATAACTAATAATATAACTACAATTATATAAACTGTCCAGCACACATGATCCTGAAATTTGGTAGGTAGGTACATAGGTAATCCTATAGCACAGAATATGCACCTAAACGCTTTTGAATTTTACAATTTAAAGAAGAGCTTAACGGGGATCTGTTAGCTCACGAAAAACGAATACTTTTTTTTTGCTTGTATGAAGTTGCCATTGGTTACCTTCCAAAATAAAATTAAAAATAGTTTATATAATTGGTTATAATTTTAGACCTTATTATTTCGGTTTGTTCAAAACTACCCAATTAATGTGTCGAAAATCTGTGTAGTTTAATAATGGGTAAACTACAGGAAACGCCTAGCAGAATCAACTTGTTACTGATGTCTATGTTTTATAATGTATACAATAACATGAATTATGAATACTAAATATATTCTGATTCACTCGAAAGTTAATTATTTTATTTTATAATCCTGGGCCGAATGGTTTAACAGGCCTGTATGGCTCTGTAGGTGAATTTAAGGTTTCCTAAGGAAAAATCGGAGGGCTAAGTATTTTCTTGGAAATATGGTTCCAAACCGATAATTTTCTAAAAATGAAGTGACATCAATTTACATGACGCGGACTTTGCATGGAATACCATCGAATATTTATATTTAAATTTTGTCATTATTTTAAGAATAAACATAAAAAAACCTTTGTATTAAATATAGGAATTCATTTTTGGGTCCACTCTAGTAAGTTATTCATAGTATTGACATTTACTGTAGAAACATCTTGTGAATAATTTTTTTTATTTAAGGCTTGACAATCGAGTCATTATTAATACCGTAGTTTTATTGAATATTTTAACATAACATTTAAAAAAATTAAATATAAATATGCATTTTTTACAATAAAATCTTTATTTTGATGAACCATCTTTTAATGTAATTGTTCTATTAAACACTAATTTAGTATCTTTAGAATCCAAATCCACACAAAAATACCCTAATCTTTCAAACTGATAATTCTTTAACACCGGTGATTTTAATATATGTTCATCGCAATAAGCGTAGACTATTTTCAATGAATCAGAATTAATATCACTCAGATAACCGTTTGGCACTTGATTAGTGTCTTCTGGATTTTTATGCATAAATAATCGATCATACAATCTGACTTCAATTTCATGAGGATTTGAAACCCAATGTATAAATGCTTTTGGTTTTGGTGCAGTTTTAACGTCTGTTGCTTGAACATGAATTTCTTCTATTGTTGTACCAGCAGTTATCACCTTTATCACTTTAATCACAATTCCTGCATATCTCAAACCAACAGTTTGGTCAATAGTTAGGCGGCGATAATCTTTATCCGCATTTTGACTAAAATCACTGGATTCAATGTACAACACTGATGAGAACTTGACATCGTGCCAACCTTTGTCTGGATCACTAGGAAAATCAGGAACACTTAATGAACATGGCTTATTTAATTCATCAAAGTTGGTAATTATTATTTTCAAAGGCTCAAGGGCAACCATAGTTCTAGACGCTGTAAGATTCAGGTAATCTTGAACTTCAGATTCGAGCATTTGTGGATCAACAATAGCTTGAGCTCCAGTTATACCCATACGAGCACAAAATGAGTTTATAGATTTTGCAGGAAAGCCCCTACGCCGCAATGCAGATAATGTAAACAACCTAGGATCGTCCCAATCGTTAACAATTTTATTTTCAATCAATTTACCAATTTTTCTTTTTGATACAACCGTATAGTTCATATTAAGTCTACCATATTCCCATTGTACAGGGCAATAAAGATCAAGGGAATTGCATAGCCAATAATAAGTAGATCTTCGATTTTGAAATTCTTTAGTGCAAAGAGAATGTGTAATATTTTCAATAGAATCACAAAGACAATGGGTATAATCATACGTAGGATATATACACCATTTGTCTTTAGTACGATGGTGTGGCAAAAATTTGATACGATAAGCAACTGGATCTTGTTTGCCTTCTTCAAGAGTGACTTTCATTCTCAATGTAGCTTCTCCTTCGTCAAAAATTCCATTTTTCATATCATTAAGTAAAGATAGATTTTCCTCTATTGGACGATTACGCCATGGGGAAGGTGGTGGATTAAATCCTTGCATGTCTTGTTGTTTTTGATGGCAGACATAAGCCAATCCTTTTTTTGTTAAAGCAATAGCCCAAATGTAGAGTTGATCAAAATAATCTGAAGAATGGGTGATTCTGTGAGGTTTATATCCTAACCATTCGACCATTTCTTTGATACCTGTAAAATATTTTTCTTCTTCTTTTTCTGGATTTGTATCATCATACCTAGAAGTACATAAGACATAAGTTAAACAATTTATTAGTAATATAATTTTAAAGTCTTTACCTGAGAATACATTCCCCATTAGAAGCTTTAGCAAATCCAAAATTTATATTGATAGCCTTGGCATGTCCAATGTGTAAAATTCCATTAGGTTCTGGGGGGAATCTAGTAATAACTTTGCCACCAGTTTCTTTTAAATGTTGTGATAATAATTTTTCTGTATTCGTGGTAACAACATAACCATCAGTTTTAAAATTTTCTCCAGGCTTATGAAAGTCTACTTTACTCATTAACTCTTCAATGGACAGTGGTTCATAAGCAAGAGGCTTCTTTTCTATAGGTTTGATTTCTTTGACTTTTTTCTGTTTTTGAACAGGGGCTAAATCAGCTTCAGTTTTAGCACCTAAAATATCCAAAATTTGACTATCAACTACATTTTTTATTGCTTTTCCATCAGCCCACACCAGTTGTTTTCTGACTTCTTGCATTAAACCACCAGTGTTAAACTTATATCTTTTTTCTATTAATTCATTCTTGTTTTGAGATATAATTTCTTCAACTGTTTGCTTTATTTTGTCTATAGTAATAACAATGCCAACCCCACATGCTTTATCCAACTCAAGTAAATCTATTTTTTCAGATATTAATGAGCGTAAATACTCCAAACTACAATCGATTCTTTGGGTTGTATCCAATTTGTTTTCAAATATATATGAGTCAATGAGACTGACATACTTAAAGTCTTGACTTTTTAACTTGGAAGCTAGGTGGTACAATAAAGTACCATAATTAGTTAACGGTTGATCTGTTTTTGGAAATTCATTAATGACTTTTTTTAAGTTGGAAGTCAAATTTTTATTTTTTATAGTTTCTTTAGCTTTTGCTTCAGAAAGGCCAATAGAGACAAACAATTCCAAATCAGACATTTTCAATATCTGAAAAAATATAAGAATACATATATTTTTTTTAAACAATAATAATAAAAAATATTTATAAATCATTTTTACCAATATCTATTTCAAGACTTTGAATATCTTTTGTTCTGATCAGAGCGCTTGAAACAGTTCCTATTGGAGTATGTAAATCTTCTACAGCAATATGGTTGTAGGCTCCAGTAGTTGCAACAAATGTAGCTTTCACTTTAGAGTTATCATATAAGATGGCAGTGCAAGGTTTACCTAAAACATTATAATATGTCATAAATTAATACTTTTAATTTGTACAAAAACTTTAAGTTAATATGATATGTTCCAAACTTTCATTAAAATGAAACAAATATTTATCTAAATAAATCAATATTAACTAACCTAACCATACCTAGGTACAAATTAGTTATAATTTATAATCTATTTTACTTATTACTTAAGACTGATGTTATTTTATAAAATCTCAATGACATATAAGTGAATATTTTTCTAAGTATTTTGATACATCAAAATCGCATTTAGGACGAGTAGTTTATGAGTTATAAGTATTTAAAGTCTAGATGGGCGTAGTGGAGTGGTAAGGGGTTACCCCGCAAAATGTTTGTCCACTACTCCACTTGTCTAAACTTTAAATATTTATAACTCATAAACTACTCGTCCTAAATTCAATTTGTGTGGATCAAAAAACTTAGAAAACTATTCTGCTTTGGAAAATGAAATTAAAACTCTATGTTGTCATTCAAAAAAGTAAAAAACTTAAAAAAATATAAAGATAAAAAATATTTAATAATACGGTTTTTTAACAACTTGAAACTATGTGAAAAAATATTTTCAAAAACAATAAATACTTTTTGAAATAATGAGTGTTTTACGCTTAATGAATCACTCTGTATGCAAGTACTTATATAATATGTTTTAATATTTAATGCAATTTGTATTGTGAAAGGAGCTGAGAGTCAATTACTCAAGAAAGCTCCCTTGTAGGAGAACTACCTAATTAACTCTTTAATAAAATTACAAAAAATGGAAATAGGTAGGTATTGTTCTGTGGTATTACTTTTAGTGCACCACTTACAAATTCAGAACATGCCATGGAGAACCTATTTTATTTTTGATAAAAAAAAAGGATAAAATACCTATGTAATAACCTAAAATACAATTATATATACATATTATAAAGAAAGTAAATAACTTAGTTATTATTTATAACAATAACCTAGTTGTTAAATAATCATAGCTAGATAACATACATATATATTAGTCTAGACAATATGTCAATAGATATCATGAAAATGTAACACTAATTATAAGTGTAAGTATAAAATATAAATTTACAACAGAAGTTGAATTGACCGTTAAGTATTCTGTATTTAAGAACTTTTCCAAGCAGAATATCCTAAGCTCTAAGGAACTATGAAGATCAAAAACCTTCATTAAATGTATATTAAATACTACTAAAATACATCTTTAGTAGCATTGAATAATTTAAAATCCAATAGGTAGGTAGATATAACCTAACCTGTGCCGGAAAATTCTGTTATTATATGTAATAAATAATAATCTACTAGGTAGGGTATATATGTCAATAACTTCAAGTTCTACAGACTACAATACAACTAGGCACTATGGAAAATGATTTAATAATTTGTTTTTATTATATAATATACCATGATATAAATAACTTATTTCTATCATAATATGTAATATACCAAACACTGTAAGCCCAATGAACCTATGTGGATGATACCTAAGTGGATCATGATAAAAATGAAAAAGTACTTGCCTTCGAGTTTCGAGATGACACTGAGGAATCGTTCTCTCAAAAAACTGGCTGCGATCTGCTCACGGTCGTCCATAAAAGGTCTGCAGAAAACGACTCTCAGACCGAATACCCGACTGAATTACTGAAAGGCCTTGTGGAAAACGGGAAGTGGTCATGTGGACTATTATCACCACTAACGTCGATTATTGTAAACGTACGCGAAAACGGTTCTCACTTTCGTCGGAACTCTTCTTCCGTTTCTGATAATAATATAGTGATAAGCGGTCCGGCGGTCGGATCACCAGACAGCTGAAGACGGTCGTCGGGTCGTGTTCAGTGGTGTTCGCGGTGTTGATCTTCGCCCTGTCGCCTGCGGCACTCGGCGGCGTGGGCGGTGCGCACTTGAATGAAGGTAGTAACGAACTTCCAAGCGCACACACTACACACACCCAAACAACTACACTACTACACATCTTTTATCACGATATAATATTAATATATTTATTGTACCCATTTTCTATATTTCTATCCAACACCGACAACAATAATAAAAAAATACTGAATTATTATTGCTTTAAAATGCGATGTTCGGTGTGTGTTGGTGGGTCGATCATAAATCTATAATTTTGTGGCAGACAAACATTGTAACTACTTTTCTACTTAGTAATTTGACGCTTTGGTAGTACATGATTACATGAATACAACTTAAAAGGCCCATAATAAAAGTCTGATAATAATATTTTATACGTGTTGAGTGTTTATTTAAAATTCAAAACATTGTTGCTGTTTAAACGGTGGATTGACGGCGATATGACGAATTTTAAAATGTTGTTGAATTTTAACCATAATTATTAATTAATCATTAATTTAAGGATCACGGCATTCACGCACCGCCTCACCGCGTTTATCACGCGACCAATCGTGCGGAGATAAACAAACGAAACGGATACGTTCCCAACTTTGACGACTCGCCCATATCAACAACAATGTTATATATTGTATTTTTCATTTTATTCAACTTATTACTTATAACAAAATATAATAATAATAATTGTATGTTGTATTAAATTTATTCCAAACGTAATTAATGCTTTGTTTACTATACCAGTACCGTAATCATTTATATTTATAAATTCATAATTGTAAGTAATTAGTTAAGTTTTACACGTAATAAATTAAACCAGTTACCGATACACCGATTTGAGCTTTGGAGTAAGTGAATTTAATTAAATATTATATATTTTATAGATTCTTACAATAACCTTGTATTTACCTAGTTATAAGCTACCTATCCATAAATATGTTGGGTAAATGTTTGCTAAATTGGAATTCATGATTATGCTGTAGAACTAAAATCATTCCCTTATCATTCCACTGGACTCTTTTCTAAAATACCTAGTACTCAATATCTTTATTTTCATGTAGGTATAAAATATTGTTTTGATGTTAACAGACTTATAGTTATTACATTCTCACTATACTGGCTTTAATCATTGTTCATCTCAAACAATAGTAGGCATTGTAAGTTATTGCATTAATTGATACCATGCATTTTTTTTAAATAATTTCCCATAATACTTTGAGAATTATATTTATATACAAATAAGTATTTTTTTTTTATGTTCCTATTCTATCTACTAAGAACTTTCAAAGGAACTGTAGTCAATTTAAAATTTAACTACAAGCCTGGATATGTTTAGTGCTGCCTTAAGTACATTATTAAATTGGAAGGGTTTACATCAAATCCAATGAGAAATTACCTTACAAGGGTTATGTGGAGATGGTTATATATTACTTATTAGTAACTTGCGCAATTTGAGATGTAGGTATATGTTAAATTCTAACTAACAGTGGAATAGCCCATTTTTGTGTCTATGTAATATATTTTTTTATAAATAGAATTATACAGTCGTCCAAATTCAATATTTTATAAAATGTGATGATTGCTATAGAAATTTTATTTTATTCTCATTCTTCTTTTAAATTCCAAAATTACTTTAATATATTATGGTGTGTCCTCGAAAATAGAATACACTGTATTAATTACCCATATTACTCAATACCGTATAATAATATTTTTGAATTCTGTTTGCGGGACATGAAACTAGTCTATTGGATCATCAATCTCCCACAGTCAACATTTTAAATATGTTTAGGGTGCCGATTAATGGAGGTACCTGAGTTAAGGACGTCATACACTGCAGCGGTGGCGGTAAAATTGTGTCTGGACTTTTTGCCGTTAGCGCCACCGCGCACCGCTGCAGTGTGTAGGGACCTTTATAGAGTGTACCCAGTTTTGGCGGACACACAGTATATATGTGTAATATCAATTTTATTTAAAATAAAATTAGTTAGTCAAAAATGTTTTATAAATGTTTTTAGTTTTTTATATTGTTTGTTAAATTATTTTAAATGTTTTCAGTGTTATGATGGGCGATGTGACTGCTGAAAGTCCTCCTGCTGATGATTTAAATAACTCTGGTTCTTCTTCTTCTTCGTCGTCTGATTCTGATGGCGAATCAAGTAGTTCTTGTACCAGTTCTTGTACTTCTTCCTGCTCTGAAACACATAAAAACCAGTGCAAAGACTCTAGTTTTCCTAATTGTGGTGAAGATACCCCAGAAGATACAGATATTCCACAATCAAATGGTCAGTCTGAATGGATGGTTTGTCAGCTTTGCCTGTACAAAGTGAAAACACCTTTACAATTAAAACAACACATGCGAATGCACACTGAACATAAAGTGCATCGTTGTGCCATATGTAATAAAACATTTGAACAAGCTACTCGACTAGAAAAACATATAGCCATACACTGTGGCGCAGACAATCGTTTTGAATGTTCACTTTGTGGCAAAGTGTATAAACTTCGAACTCAAATTGTCAGCCACATAGCAGCTCACAAAAAACAAAATGCTGGGCGTCGTATATCATATACATGCCACATTTGCACAAAAAAATTTTCAAACAAGTCAAAACTGAAGGAACATGTATCAGGACATGAAAACGGAACACTGCATTCATGTGATGTTTGTGGCCGAACTTTTAAATTAAATTCATATCTTGTTGTCCACAAAAGAACACATGAGATGAATGTGTCTTATACAGGGGATAAACCATTCACCTGTTCACTGTGTAACAAGTCATTTTTGAGCAAAAGCAACCTTGATCTACACATGTTGGTGCACAATTACGTTAAAAAAGCATCGTATAGCTGTGACATATGTGGAAAAATATTTATGCGAAAATATAACTATGATGCTCATGTAAAAATACATGAATAGCTTGTAAGTTTTTACCATTTCAACTAACTTATTATTGCCACAAAATTCTCCATTATGCACTAAAGCCGTTATAATTTTTAGTTTTTGTGAATTTTTGTTTTTGGAAACCTAAAAAGCATTATTTTTTAAATATATTATGTATGTTTAATAATGGCTTTTTGAACTAATGTTTTGGTAATTTTATTAATATTTCAATTATTATCTCATAATTTTCCTTTATTACAATTTTTGTAAAACAATATTGGATAATATAAAATCTGTATATACAAATTTTTGCTGTTAATTGGGGAAAATAATTTACCATGCTATAAACTCAATTTCCATTGTGACCATAAACTATTTATAACTGTTTTGTTATTATTTATTATTGATTTTCCACTCTCATTTATTTATGAAAAAAATATATATTCTACAGCAAATTTATGTCTCATAAATAATGTATAAATCCAGTATGTATCCAAGTAACTAGAAAATTATGTTCCAATATATTAATTTAAGTCCATTTATATTATGTACATAGTGAAAACATAAATCGTACAAAACCATAGTTTATTTAAATGTTTATTATTTATTTTATTTTAATGTGTATTATAAATTATATTTAAGTGTATTTTATGTTTAATTCAGAGACTAAACTTTTGTTCTTCAGTATAATCAGATATTAAACAAATAGTATTGCTAAGAATCATATTAGACAGACAGTTTTTTGTAATTATATAAACTTTTAGAAAAATAATGTAATGGTTTTAGTATAATTTGTATATCTTTTTTATTGTACTACATTTGTAACCATTCCAAGACAAAATGTCTATTGAAATTATATTATATTATTTATTGTGTATTTTCTGACGTATTCTATATTATATATTTTATGTATATCACTAAAATATACACATTAAAATATTGTGACCAAACTTTGAAAACTTTAATTGTTTAACATAATGATATGAAATATTTATTCATTTATTTTATTTTAAAAAAATTGTGTTCAGATTTTAAAATGATATTGCTTTTTATTCTTATTAATAATCAAATATTATAAAAAAAAAAGTTTTATTAATTATTTGAGGCATTGTATTTTATTTTTTTCTTACCAATGAATACACCATTTTCTTTTTGAAAGTAACTCTAAACAAAATAAAATATTTACTCTTACTATTAGCTGTAATATTATGATTGTTTAGTGCTTTAGGATTGCTATTAGCTAAAAGTTAATGAATAAATAATTTATATTGTTTTTATTTTCATGTTGTATTTTGTATTTATTCACAAGTAAGAATATATTAAAACCTAAATTGTTTATTGGTAGTACATACCATGTTTAAATGACTGTAATGTGTAAAATAAAAAATAATTTTACACATCTTCTTGTGGGTCACGTTTGATTAAGATATGATTGGTAAAAAATGTGTATATGATGTGTATTTAATTGGTGTCTTCTGTATGACTTATTGTAAGTTTTTATTTAAAATTTGAAAATGTTGTGCTAGTAGTTTATAGACGAATGAAAACTACAAGTATATATAAATATAATGTATGTGCATGTACATTTTCATTTAACTACTATAAGAAATAATCATATTTTATTTACAGTGTTTGTATATTTATATAACTATGATGTCTAGTTCCTTAGTGATTTAAAAAAAAAGCACGATAATATTGTGTAATTTACTTTTGTGGTATTTCCAATTTAATTTGTTCCAAAAATTAAGTTTATTTTCATACCTAATTTATAGGCATGTGTGATGTGTACTCAATATTCTATGTAAAACGAGGACCTAATTTTTATTATTAATAGATATTAGATACCAATATTACTAATAGATCTTATGATACCAATGTTTTATGTTAAATTTTCAAATTATGTCTGTGTGTTTTTTTTCTCTTGCCATTAGTTTTGTTCTGTTACAATTTTTCCTCAACTCATAAATTGTCTATAGGTACATTATAATACTTTATAATTGTTTGTGTACCTACTTAATTTTTTATCATCACTATACCTATGTAAATATTATAGATTTTCGTGAACTATATGGTACTCAATATTAACTTGTTATTTTTTTTCATATTCTGCCTATATTCCTATATGACTATATAGTTTATACTAACAAATGTCGATCAGAATTGACACCGAGAGCATTTTCTTATTTCATAGTTCTTACCCATATGTAGGATTAACACATTATTGATTGGGCATTGCACCCATCAGTCATGTACCAACAGATGTGTAATTAAACTGGTAATGGGTTAAAAAGTCCGGTACGAAAAAAGTTCTATTAAATTTATAATGTATACATAAATAAATTGTCTATTAAATGTATAGTAGGTATACATGTAATATACACATTATATATAGCGTGTAATATTATATATAGTCAGTTCATATATAATTAATATTTATTTAAACATTTTTTTTTAATATTTTATTACTTATTATTTCTGCGATTACCTACACAATATCACAGTATACAGTATGTTCCAGAAGGCCCGTATCCCCTATGACCTTTAGTATCTCCGTGGAAAATCACTGTATTTAAATGCAGTTTTTTTTGCAGTATAAGTATAGAAATTCTGATTGAATAGCATAATATTCAATTTTTTTTTTCAAAAATTCAAAAAAAAATTTTAGGCAAGAAAGGTTTTTTGAAATTTCCTAGATAACCATTTTGCTGATTGCATTTTTTAAAACAGATCAAAAAAAAAAAAAATATTAAAATTTAATGAAAATCATCCAAGTTAGAGCTAATTATTATTTTGAATTTCTAAGAATAATAATTTTGTTACCTATGCATAACGGCATTAGCAAAATATGCATTGTGGCATGCTTTATAATCAATCTCGATTGAAACTCTGATTTTGTATGACAATCTGTAAATATCTAATTATTAGTGGAGTTTGTAGGAAAGATTAAAATTACAATTCATATAATATTTTTAAACTTGATTAATAATTTTAAAAACAAAATATATTTTAATACATGAAATTGAAAATAATTTATTACATTTTATTTACAAATGCTCGAAGTGACCACCATTATTTGTACCTAATACGGGGTTGCAGTTTTTGGACCCAACTACCCAAGCATCCTTAACATTTTCTAATGTCTCTGGTAAAATATTTTTAATATTTTCTCCAATGCTAAGATGGAGATCAGCCAATGAACATGATGGATACACAAGATTTTTCAAATAACCCCATGAAAAAAAAATCCATTGGTGTTAAGTCCAGGAGACCTTGGTGACCAAAGTACTGGACCTCTTGTTCACATCCATCTTCCCGGGAAGTGCTCGTCCAACCAACCTCTCGCAACATTAGAATTATGTGCCGGTGCACCGTCTTGCATAAAAATAAGCTCTATTCCGCTTGTATTAATTTTTTGAGAAATTAGTAATTACTGGCCACACGCGTTCTTCTAACAAATGGTCTATAATTTTCTCCATTTAAATTACCTTCAATAAAAAAAGGTCCGATAATCTGCCTATTCCGAATTCCACTCCAAACATTTAATTTTTCTATATTTTGCTCGTGAAATTCTATGGACTCGTGAGGGTTTTCGTCAGACCAGTGAGCCACTGAGACCTACAGCCACACTTCCAAGAACGTTAATGCTATTATCAACATTTGTTGCGCTCTTAGATCTAGCTGACCTATTTCGCTCATTGTCATTACCTAAGAGTTAAAAATTAAAATTAATAGTTATTAATAAAGTTGGAAAATAAATTAAATAACCACCCAATCATACGCTACCCAATATCTACGTGATATTTAGTTTAGTGGGGAAAACAATTGATTTTTAGAAATAATTTTACAGGCTCACAGTCGAAAAATTATTAATTATTCGTACGGTTAAGCGCAAAACAAATTAAGAAAAAAAGTAACATGAGGATAATGCAATTTTATCTGTTTCTAAAAATCGAGACATTAATCTGTTAATAACATTGAACGATAGTTTCTTACGATCCGGCTATTCAATTCCATAGCTATAGCCTATAAGCAGTATAAGCCGCTTGCTTCCGTTGTTTCGGAAATAACATTTCACCATATTGATGTAGGTACCTACTCATGTATTGAGAAAGTATGAGTCATTTTTAAATGTGTAACAAAATAGGTACAAAAAAAAGGTGGGTAAGTGGATGTCGCTCTGCTGTACAGTAGGTTACAAGTGGTCCACTGTATAATGGATGCTATTAAATTTGAATTCAATGATACAATATCATTGTATAAGAAAAACGATTCTGAGCGAAGACGGTACGTCAGTCTAGGTTTATAACATATTATATACATATCTATGGTATTAAAAAAAATTTACCTATAATAAATTCCAAATTAATCATATCACAATATCCATTAGGTAGGTACTTATAACACGTTATACATCAATAACAAACCCTAATACTATCATAGATATATAATATAGTGTACTTTAGAAGTTTCAAGTACCCACGAATAGTATTATACATCCACAACAAAATAACTAAAATAGGTATGCTAGGTTTTTTAATATGTAATTTCGTCCCAAATTTGAACTTAAAATGTCTGTAAAAAATAACTGTGCTCATATATTTTTTAGATTTTTTGGCTGCAGTAAGAACTATTTATGAGAATCTTTTTTTTAATTTTCAATCCTTAGCTATAAAAACTGAACATTTTATAATTTATTAATTACGATGATTGATAATTTTCAAGATTTTGATAAATTTTGTCAAAATGCGATCTTTAAATGTTTATAAAAAAAATTGTGCCTATGAATTTTTAATATTTTTCAATTGCTATTGTAACAATATATCAGGAGCCTTGTATTAATTTTTTACACTTTTTGGCCCAACAGATAAAACTTTATTGATATTATTAGAAAAAAAAAACTAAAAAAATTTAAAACTGAAAATGTCCGTAAACGGCTCAAAAAGAGTCAAAATATTTTGAAAATTGTATGGTGTATAGGAAATGCTTTTATAAACATTCAGTGAAATTTTCATGTATCTACAGTAATTCGTTTTTGA